GGCTGTTCTCCACGCCAGCCAAGATGAAAACATGACTGACTTGAAGGAAACAGCACAGGGGACAAGGCCCATTCAATAGAGAAAACAGATCAAACTGTCACAGCTTCCAAGGCAGCCTGCTTCAGGAGTGTGGATGCTCATGAAAGATGCAAGCCACCAGGCTCAGAACACAAGCATGGCAGCAAGCAGCACTAGCTTCCTGTTCAACCAGGTTCCCCATGCTTCCTTGACAAGGGCAATGTCAATAAGGATTGCTCATGGATTTAAGCCACACACAGGACTATGAGTTGAGCACCAGGCGGAGGATAAGAGGGACCTCAAAATTCTCTTCAGAGTACACAGACTGAGACACCTGATGGAAAGTTAATGCAGAGGCAGAGGAAGCAATGTGAGTTTGAAGTTAGGGGACTAAGTGAAGGCTAGAGGTATAGGGTGGTCCTTTCTGAAGAATCACCTGGAGCACCTGTGAAAAATACTGATTCGGGCCTGGCACAATGGTTCAACTGACTAGCCTCCTCCTTCAAGCACCAGGAACCCATATGGGCACCAGTTCATGTCCCAGCTGTTCTGCTTCCCATCCAGCTCCTTGCTTGTGGCCTGGGAAAGCAGTAAAGGATGGATCAAAGCCTTAGGATCCTGCACCTGCTTGGGAGACCTGGAGAAAGCTCCTGGCTTCTAGCTTTGTATTGGTTCAGCTCTGATCATTGTGGTCACATGGGGAGTGAACTGGCAGATGGAAGATCCTTGTCTCTCCTTTTCTCTGGAAATCTGCCTTTGCAATAAAATAAATAAATCTTAAAAAATAAAATCACCAACTCCTAGTTCCTTGTCATATCTTGCACTTTAAATGTTTTTGGATGGATAGATAGAAAATATTCTACATACATTCAACGTTTGCCAATTGTTGATTATGTGTCTGTTATGTTTCAAGCTCTTTTCCCAGCAGCCCTCTGTGGTCATGTGATCACCCTGTGGTCATGAAAAAACATCAAAGAGATTTTGACACTGATTTCACTGATGTCTCCCTCCAGACTTCTCAGAAGGGGAGTCTCACCCCTTGCCCCCAGTTATTTAAGGCCCCTTAGATATGGTTTCTGTTTGTTACTTTCTGCCAGAAGTATCCTGACCTTACTATGACTTGTGTTGGAAACCTGACTCCCAGTGCGACAGTTGGGAGTGGGGCCTGATGGGAAGCGTTCTTGCCAGAAAGGCTCCAGGCTGGTGAATGGATCCAATGCCATGCATGGAGAGGTGGAGGTGGCGACACCCTTTGGCTCACTCTTGCCCATGTGATGTCTTCTGCCATGTTACAGAGCAGCACAAAGGTCCTCACCAGACACAGCCCCTCAGCTTCTAGAACCAAGAACCAAACTTCTGCTCTTTATAAATTACCCAGCATTCTGTTAGAGCAGCACAATACAGGTGCAACATACCTGATACAAACATCATGCTATTCTATTATAAATCTATACATTCAAATAAAATGAAACTAATCTTTTGGGGAGGAAGGGCTGTGAAGACTGTGTGGCTAACTCTATTTGAATAAGCTGAATTTCCCGCAACTATCACGCTTTATTTGCAAGCTCCATTTATTTAATAAAGTTTCTGAAACATTCAAACTCCTTGTATGAATTTACCACTTTTGGTTTCCTATTCACCATTTAAATAATTGAAATGACACTTTCAAAACCAGTTAAGACAAAAGCTGTTTTTATAAAATTCTCTACTAAATCCAATAAATTAAATTTGTAAATCTAGTAATTCTATTCTAATAATGCCAATGAGCTAGGTCAGTATTTTTTATGACCTTCAATTTAAAATCACAAGCCTAAAATCAATTTCATGTTTTAAATTGGAATTGTAAGCTTTTAAGACATTGAAATCACTGGCATGAAAAACATGCATAAAATTGTTCTTAAATTTAATGCTATGGTTTGGATATGGTTTGAGTGTTTCCCTCAAGAGACTGTTGAAACTCAATCTCCACCATAAGACCTTAAGTGGGTAGGAAGGTAACTCACCGTGCTGTTTAGAGGGACCCTGTGGGAGGTGATCAGAGCTGGACTAGGCCATTGGGTACAACCCCATGACTGGGTCTTGGCAGCATCATAGGCGGTGGAGGGCAGGGAGGCCAGGAAGACGCACACACACGTATTCTCCATCTTTTATGTTATGATGCCCTGTGCAGCCCGGGACTCTGCCACCAATATATCTATCACCAGATGTAGGTCCTTGAATAAGCAGAGCTACGAGCTGAGAAAGGCTCTGTCCTCTATAAAGTTACCCAACCTCAAGTGTTTCATCATAATAATGCCAAATGCAGCATTACCCTTTAACATGAAGGTATCAATATTACAGGATCATTTTCTAATCTCTGTATCTGATTCTAGATGTTTCTAGACTTTGAGGGTCATTTCCTGAAAAGGGAACTGATTTACTTCCTTGAGAACTCAAAGCTGCTGCATCAGAAACATCAAACCAAGCATTTCTGAGGAGCTGATTGGATTTGGAGTCAGAGGAGAAGGTTCTGGAACTCCAGTGCAGTGGACTGGATGACAGCAGGAAACTCACATGTGCCCCCTACAGAGAAATGTGACTTTAAAACTTCATCCCATGCACCTCTCAGTTCTTTTTATTTTTAATCAACAGAAGGAAGTTGGCAACTCCACCTGACTTAGCTAGTGTCCTCTATGATCTCATTGACTTCTGCATTTATCTGGCACCCAAAAGCCATGGCTTGCATCTTCCACTTGCTCACAAGGCATTTTAATACTGTTGAATTTAATCCTGAACATTTGACCCCGAGCCAGGACTCTCAAGTCACAAGACCAAGACCATTCCCCTTCTGGACAACTTTTGAGGAATTTCCATCATGGGCTTATAGCATCTGACACTCCATCAGAACTATTATATTGAACCTGGCAGGAGCTCAGCTTCAAGTGATGTTCTCTCTCTGGTTGTCCTGGATATCAGCTGTGGCCACCCAAATGGGGTGCTCCTCTGGCCTCTACCCTCAGATCCATGGACCCAGAGCTGGAGGGACATTTGCTCGAGGCCTCTCATCACTTGTATTATCCTCTTTCCCACTTGCTGTACTTTATAAAGGAATACAGATGGAAAAATCACAACCATGAGATTGGGATTCTGCTGATGGCAATTCCCCTTCCGGTCACAGATTCCCCTGAAAGAGGATTACCAATGAGCTGTGCTAGATACTGTATCAGTTTAGATCACTTGAGAAACTGCAATGCTTACAGAAATCATCCCAGGTATGAGGAGGTCAAGTCCCTCAAAGTGCAGTGCAAGATGCTGAGTCGCCCTTCGGAGAACACCTGCAACGGTGCAGGCAGCAAACAATCTGCTCAGAGAGTAAGCTCCTGCCGCATCAAGTCATTCAAGGGTGAGAGTGGCTGCTGCCCCAGCTCCGTGGTTCTCAAAGTGTGGTGCCCAGCAGCGTCGGTGGCACCTGCTAAGCTGTTACAAAGCTTGGCATCACAGTCTGACAGTCTGCTTCAACACCTTCCAGGTGACCATAGCGCATCACTGTCCTTTCCTGGTTAGCACAGCTCCCTTACTTAAAGCTTCCTCTTGGCAAACTGGAACCTTCCAGTGAACCCTTTGCAAGCTTCCTAATTAATGATTTTTCCTGGCAGTGATGAAATCAATCCACTGTTCCCCACTTTGAAGCCTCAAAATTGTTATGGGCCCAGGGCCCTGCCTTTAACTTTGAACATTGTATCGTGTGACTGCATTTAATGAACATGCGAATGGAAGTTCCTAAGGGCTTGGAGCAGCTGAAAAGAAGGGATAAAAGTTTCTTTACCTTGTGAGACCCCGCAGCTGGCTCAGAGCAGCCCTGCTTCCCACTGTGATGTAGCAGCAGGTTTGCCAGGTGCCCCTGGAAAACCTTGCATTCTGAGCAGCAGGAGACCCAAACTGGATTTTACCTTTCTCTCCCACGTGCTTTCCACTGTTTGACTGCCTTGCCAACAAGCTGAGTCCAAGAGCTCTCAAGTTCTCCTGTTTACCTGTCTTGAACATAACTTACTGAGGAGATTCCAAGATCACGAATTAGGTATGAAACCTGTTGCTTTCAATAAATTCTTAAACCTAGTGAGGGACTTAGGGGGAATTTTAGACAACCTATTTACATGATTGTATGAAATAGTTACTTACAAATGAAATTCCCATTTGAATGGACTCTAAGTGTTCTGTGGCTCATTTAGTTTCATGTTTTGCAAAAATGCCAAATACATGGAAATGCTAGAGTAAGAATGTAAAGAAAACTATGTATGTCCCGTTTAACAGTTTACTGTATCAGCGCTCTCTCTCTCTCTCTCTCTCTCTCTCTCTCTCTCTCTCCACACACACACCCTCTTTTTCCTTAAGGGCAATTGTAGATATGATGCTGCATCCCTGAATGCTTCAACACGCACTCCCCATGCAGCTGTAACACCACCCGACACCAAGTTCACAGTCAAAGCTCTCAGCTATCTTCTGCATCTACTTGTCTTTTTCTTAGAGCCAAACTCCACTGAAAGCTTGCCCTTTGTGTTTCGCATCTCTTGTAACAGGTCTTGGCCATCTGACGTGCCTGCAGATGACCAGGGAGCTTATTCCAACCGTGTTCCAACCCCAGAGGTCTGGGTAGAGCCCGAGAGTCTGAACTTAACAAGCATCCGCTGGCCAAGGACCACATTCTGAGTAGCAAGGTTGGGATGGGACCCCTTGCATTTTTCTTCTAAAGCCATACATAGATCCTTGAAGGAATTAAGTAATATGCCAGCCCCACCCGGGTGAGTGGCCTACATGGGTGCCCCTGAATTCAACACGTTGAAATCCTAACTCCAATGTAATGGTGTCAGGAGGTGAGGCTGTGGGAAAGTAAGTCCAGAAACTGAACCTTCATTCATAAATCAGCACCCGTCTGAGAGACATTCCAGAGAGTTCTTTGATCCTCTTCCTGCCTGTGAAGACACAGTGAAAAGCCACCAGTCTGGAAACCACTTTTTATTGCTTGTAAGACCCTCACTCTGTGATGATTTGTTAGAGTAATTGCAATGAAAGAAATATGGTTGGCCCCATTTTATACTTCAGATAAGAGTTACATAACCATGTTAAGGTCACCATACAAGTGAGAATTCCCACCTTTAGATGCTTGACAGTGCCAGAATAGGAACCCAGCCTGTGTGGTCCAAAGCCCTCATGCTTGACCACTACAATCCCGGGTCATCTTTGTCACAAGAACATGGTTCCTGAAGGCAATGTTGATGTGATTTCTTATGGGTTCTGAAGAATTAACAGAAACATCACCAGAGCTTTTCCAGGGTGATCTGGAATGTTCTTAGTCACATGTTCCTACATATGCAAAGTGGGTAAGAAGTGGAAACACACAGCTACTTATCTTTGGCTCAATTTGTTCCCTACTCACATGGTCCATCAGGAACAGTTCTGCTCTAGGTCAGGATGCTGGACAGTGTGGAAAGTTTCTTGACACCAGGGCAGTTCCCTGTGAAATAGCATGCAAAGGAAACCCAACACTCAGCAAAGAGCAGACAGGGGACCCCAGAGAAAGAGGCAAAACCGCAACGAAGAGCAAAGTACCACCCTGGGCGACTTTCTGGGGGCACTCCTGGTTAAACAGTCACCATGATCTGCTCCAGGGGCTTCCGAGTGAAGTGGGGCACCGTGGCCTCTTTGCTGGGGTACCCCACAGGGAGCAGCATCAGCAGCTTCTCATGGGCAGGCCTGTTCAGGAGCACTCTCAGCCGAGGGCCACAGTTGAGTGGAGTGGTGGTGACTGTCACTAGCCCTGCATTCTACAATGGGAGAGGAAAACGGTACATTTCAGTCTGCAGGCAGTCTGCTTCCAGCTCAGGGACATTTTCACCCTTGTCACATCTGCTTGCTCTGTCATTTCCCTAAGGTTGGACAGCAAACATGCCACCAGCTTTGGCAGTGGGTGAGCTGGCTCATGCCTGTATTCCCAGACCTTCTTAGCCCTGCATTTGGAAGCTTCTGGAAGAAGAAGACATGAGTGTTATTTTTCAATGCTGCTTAAGAAATAGGAATGGTGATTTTATGGTTGGAAGTTTGGAGATCCAACCACATCAGAGGAAGGATGAAGAATGCCTTTCAGCTAAGGGGTCAGTCTGCATGTTGGTGCACTATGCAATAGTTATGCAGTCTTCCCAAAGACAGTGCTAGCCTCAAGTAGATTACAATTTTATGGCTAAATATTTGCTTCCAAATTCCAGTTCTCTAACAATGATTTGTTAGCAGTAGACACAACATTGGTTTTTGAACACAACTCTATTGCTTTTCCTGAAGGGTTCCACTACATCATCCCATACCTCAATTCATGGATTTTATAATGCGTGCGAGGACATTCTTAAGAATGTACGCATTGGAACTGTATTGATTTCGTCATTCAGTGTAAGTTTACATCATTTTATGACAGCATTTCTCTTCCTTTATCATATATTGTCATATTAGTTGGATTTGGGGTGGTTAAATCTTGGCACTTTCAATGGGAAAATGGGAAAAACTTCTGAATTTAGGATTTTATATTTTATCTTTGAAGACATAGTTCTTACTTTAGACTGAATTTTGTATGTCTTCGACAGTAGCAATCTATGAGCACACAGATTCTATCAGAATACTTCAGGCAGCAGGAAGGCAGAATCCCTATCAATCAGGTAATTCATCTCATTAACTTCTATTAATATTGTATCTTTCATTCTCTCTGGATGCTACAGATCAAGAATTCTTTCACTGTAATCTGCAGACCAAAATGGCCAAGGATTGAATCCGCAGGTCTGTGTAACATCCGCAACTTTGTCACTAGTAAAACTAACAGGCATTTCATAGCTCTTTACAATTGTTATAGATTTTTAAAGCATCATCGTGGTTCTGTGACTAGATCTTTTCATTCTAAATAACAGCAAGAACCAAGAGTACCAGTGACTGTGAGACAGCAGAGGAAGCAGGATTTCATCTTGAAGGGAACTGTCTATCCCCAGCAAGGGGACCCAGGAGCTATGGGACACACTGGGGACAAAGGAAATACCCCTTCAGTCTCTCCCAAGGACTGCAAACAATGACCATCGGAGGACAAATAACGTAAGAATTCGGGCCACCCTTCTCCACGGACTAGAAAGAGGACCACTCAAGTGTGACCAGCTTACTGTGACTAGATGTTATGCAGAGAGAAAACTCTCGTGAATGATGTCCCAGTGGACATCCCTGCCTTCCAATAGCTGCCTGCCCTTAGCATTACTCCTTGGGAATGCTAGAGGACCGAAGAGTCAGTGCCGATGAGGAAAAGCCCTGCTCCAATCCTGAGTGGAATACTGGGAAGTCCTCGGTGCTCCTTGCCAGACAGAGGTCCCTGTGACCCACTCATCTCAGGGACTGCAAGCACAGGAAGGAAGCAAATGCCTGGGAACCTTAACACACACATCTCTGAAGATGCCTGTAGGTTCCAAGGTGCTGCTCAGCAGACATTTGGCTTTGAGATAGTGAAGAAGCTCACACGTTTAGGAATTAACTAGCCCTTGGGAGTAGGGTCATGTCTGCTTTGTTTATTTTACCCTTTCCCCATCTCTCCATCCCCAACCCTGATTCCAGGACCTTCCAAAATTTGCAGTTCATCACATCTCTGGGACTGCCACATAGAAGGAGCTCTGAGAATTTCTGTTGAGTGTATGAATCAAATTATTTATAAGGTGAAACTCAGGCCTGCTCTATTGCTTGTTAGTATTGCTCTTGCTACTACACGGATGAGAAACTATATGTAATCCCATAGCCATTTTCCTAATGTACTACTGTATCAAGCCAGCGTCACAGGGTAGGGGCTTTAAGGCTCAACCAAGGTTTGTGGGTCATCTTTATGGTCAGTAAGCTCGGGGAGGGACTAGTCCCGGTGACTTGAAGGGTGAAGTTCTTCTTGTGCATTTGGCAAAACCCTTGGTGTTTTTTGTTGTTATGGACTCTTTCTGACCTGAATTGAGTTGACAAGTGAATATCCAGAAGGAATTGCACCCTGTTGAACCATCATAACACCCATCCAGGTGACCAACAATGGTTTCTGCTGGAAGTTACTCAGGCGTTCAACTTTAGATGAGCACTATCCAAATGTTTCTCTGACTTGGCAACCCAGAGATAATCTCAGGATAGGGATAGTCTGTAATGCTTCTGATTGCCAAGTCTCTTTTCTCTGCTATAGTCAAGTGGGAGGTGAACCTACCTGCAGGGCTGCTAGCAGAATGCCACAGGCAATGGACACGCTGATCTCATTGTAGTAGTGGACCTTTTTCTTGCCACTTGCAGTAAAGCCATGCACCTGCTTGAAAATGAGAATCAAAACGGGAGCAGTGTCCAGGTAGTCTTTGACCCAGTTGGTTCTGATAGAAAGGAAAGAAAAAAGACAGGATATTTGCTGTGATTTTCTTCTTTCTGCTACCTTAGTTTACTTACAATGAAAATAAATGCACATTTACTTGCTGTTTATATTTAAGTTGGAAAAAAGAATGGATCTTTTTTCAGGTCTTGTTCTTTCCCTGCCTATTGTTACTGAATTACTAAGCATGCCACAGAAGGGAGAGTGTAAGGTGAAAGAAAGACCCCCATAACCCAGAGGGCAATTTACACAGCCCAGTCAAGCCTGCTAAGTGCTAGCACAGTGGCATACAACAAGCGCATCAGGAGCCATCCTATAGTGGATGCTAATTTTGAAGAAAAAGATGCAGAGAAAATTCCAGAGAATTGGCTTCTAGGTTGGGTACTGAAGACCGGAGTTTGGTGGGGGGTGGGGTGTGGTTGGGGAAGGAGAGATTAGGTAGGATATTCCTTGCAAAGAGGAGAGAGGAGGAAAGGTAGGGTGGGGATGGAGAACATGTGGCAGGCCAGGTACTTTTCAGCAGTCTAGAGAAGCAGGGGAGGGCTGGCAGGAACACATTGGTCTCCCGGGGTTCTGGTCTTCATTTGACAGGCATGGAGATTTGTCATTGCTCCTAAACAGAAGCCGCATAGGATCAGATCTGCTTTTAAAAGAGGTGGATGGAATAGGGTGGGTCAGGCAGCAATGACAAAGTCACCCCAGAGAGGGGGAAGTCACAGGCAACCTGACACGGGCCCAGCAGGGGTTGGGCAAGGAAGGGAAGGGTTCCAGAGAACTGGGAATGGTGAGAGATGGCAGAGGCAGCCAACACAGGAGCCAGCAAGGGTTAAGGATGAGAAAACCCTGAGACAACTTAAAATCACAGGGCTCAGAGGTAAGTGTAGTTAACCTGGGTTGAGAGGAAGAAAGGGAACTTTCTCTGTGGCAGGCAGCAGGAGACAGTTTGGATGAAACACAAATGTGGAACTGAAATTATTGTTTTGGGGACTTTCACCCTGGCATAGTAGGCTAAGCCTCCATCTGAAGTGCTTGAATTCTACATGGTTCCAGTTTGTGTCCTAGTTGTTCCACTTCCAATCCAGCTCCCTACTAATGTGCCTGGTAATATAGCAAAAGATGGCCCAAGTCCTTGGGTCCTGACACCATGTAGGAGATCTTGAAGAGATTTCTGGCTCCCAATTTCAGGCTGACCCAACCCTGGTAGTAGCAACCATTTGGGGAATAAATCATCAAATGGAAGATCTGTCTGTCTCTGCATCTCTGTAACTCTGCCTTTCAAATAAAAAATAAGCAGCAAAAGAAAAAATAGTCGCTTTTCAGCTCAGAACGTATTTTTTCCCTGATTCCAATTAGCCTGTTCCATCCATTTTTGAGGAAGTTTCACTTGAGCACAGACATTCAAAGGAGAGACAGCCAATCTTCCTACAGACTAGAATTTCTCCTTAGGATACATCCCATCATTAATGTGATCACCAGTCATTCTGTGTTTAGCCTAGGTAGGTTTCACCACATTAAAACATGCTAAACTCACACATACTGTTATCTGTGTTTCTTCTTGTTCTACTAACATCTCTGGCACATTTCCAAAGCTGTTCTTGGCATCCTTCACCTGCCTTGGGTCCTTTGCACCATTAAAGTCCCCTTCTCCACCTGGGAGGATGGGAGTAGTTGAGGTCACATCTGGAGCTGGGCCAGCTGGGACACACTGGGACAGGTTCTTAGCCTCTTAGAGGTTGGGTTCCTCATTAGAAAATAGACCATTGTGCACCTGACTCAGGGTGACTGCAAGAGTGAAAGAAACCACATGTACAAGCAGTCTCCAGAGAGCTCACAGAAAATGCATGTTACCAAAAAACCTATGCATGGATTTCAAAATTGTTTGTACCAAAACAAACTTTTAGTTTAATTTTTCGTGAACCTTTCGAACCTCATGAACCTGTTTATGTGTAGCGGTTTTTAATATCACAAACATTGGTGCTTTAAACCATGGAACTATCACTCTATTTTCCTGCCTCGTTCCCCACCGCTTCCACCCACCACAGAACATGCCTTCAGCACACTGAGCAGACCAGGGTGGTTGCTTTGGGTGCCCACTCAATCACCCAGCTTCCTAATGCTGTTGCTCAGTGCAGGTGAATGTCATCACAAGACTGCTGCACGTACCCGCATAGGTCAGGCTCAACTTGATCAACCTGAATTCTGTGTGCTTTTGTTGAATCCGACTGTATCAGAATTTATTGTGATAAATTACAGCTAGGACAAAGACAGTAATGAGCAAGTCCTACTAACAGGGCTTGCTAAAAGAAGCGCCTCTGTTGGAGTTAGGAGCTCCTGCTAGCAAGCTGGAGGTGGTAAGGCTGGGGAGGAAACTCGGATCTGGACTGAGTCTCTAACAACAACAGTGGGTTTCAGAGGGACTGAAATAGGCTGAAAAGGCACGTGTCCTACTGCAGTCCGATTCAACCGCATTTGTTCTGTTGGGGCCTGTGTATTGACACAACATGAGTGGTATAAAGTGAGGCTTTTTAAACCCAACTCTCTGGATCTGAGTTTGGATGTGTGTGTGTGTGCTACACATGTACACCCATGTATACATAGGGTTGTCAGAGAAAAGTCTATAACTAATGGGATTCTCAAGGACCTCTTGACGTGCAACATGGATTCCCAAAATGTGGTTGAGAATAAAAGGAAACCAGTAATTAGAATGCTATGAGCAGTGGTCCCTTTAAGTGCAGGGACGATGTGTTGTGTTTGGGCCTAGGTGAGAGAGCAATTAGCCTTGCCCCTGTCGAGAAAGGTGAGGGAAATAACAGGACTCTGTAGGCAGTGCTCACACCCAGTGCATGACATTGCTCTAAGTGCAGAAATTCAACCTGACTTATATCTATTGCAGTTGTCCTTTTAAGTATGCAATAAAATTAGCATAGTCATCATTAATACCACAGCTTGGTAAAAAGTTACAGCTCCATAACATATCAATTTTAAATATCTTAGAAGAAAACTGTACTCGGGGATCAAACAAAAGAAACAGGAGCTCACCCCTCTTCACCCTCACTCAAATATGGGGCAAAAAGTCCCACTGGGCCCCCAAGAGTACATCCCCTCATCCTGCCATGGAACACTAGACTGGAAGTCTCTGTGCCCCTCAAGACTGTCACCTGTATCCCTTCCTTAGGCACTGGAAGGTGCTGCATTGTAGATGCCAGAACAGGCCATGAAAGTACACGTTCTGAGAGTCAAGGGTCCCAACTCCTTCCCTGTAGGGCCTTCTGAGAGGCCACGGTCAACAAAACCAGCCATCAAGACACCTCGGCCCATGCGCAGCTTCTCAGAATATGGGGCTGGGAAGGAAACCTGAGGCCTCCTGGCAAGACGAGTCATACTGGATCCCACTCCACTTCCATCCTGGAGACAGACACACAATGATACTGATTTCTGTCTTGGCTAAACTTGCCCAGAAACTGAAGCCAGCTTAGGACAAAAATTTAAAAGAGTAATTTGTTCTAGAAAAATAGAAATTAGTCCTCTCAGGATCTTGAGATATTTCTCAGTCTTGTGTTCCAGAAGAGTGAAAAGTGGTGTAATCCTTCAAAAATTTCTTGATGATGTGATCATTTAGCCAGAGCCTCTCTGTTTACCAAACACTCACACAAAACCTTACTTAGCTTCCATGATGCCTTCCAAAGCTGCAAATCAAACATGTTCTTTTAACACTTAAAGCATGCCAAAGGAACTGCTGTGATGATTGTTGCTTTTAAGAAACCAGAACCCCTCTTCCCCCAGAGCCGTACCTCATCTTCCTCAGGTCTGCCACCCACCGGGGCCCCATCCTTTTCCTGTAGTTGATTTCCTCCTCCTCTTCAATGATCTCCCGGATCTTGTGCTTCACGTCTGGGTCCTTCACGACCACGAAGGTCCAGGGTTCCGTATGGGCCCCACTTGGGGCAGTTCCTACCACACATGAAGATAAACTCAGAAAGCAGGCAAGCATGAGAAGGCTGAGAACGTTGTACCATGGCTCCAAACACAGGTTTGGCAGCTGGCAAACCAAGAACTTGGTGGAGGGCTCTGGTTTGCAGCTTCCAGCTTCGTTGTGTCCAGTCTCTCTTTAGGGTCCTCTGAGCCCATGCATGAGCGCAAGGCCAAGGCATGTAGGGCTGTGGGACCAAATCCTACTACTCAAACCACGTGGAAGGAAATGTCCTTAAGCAGCTACACCATAACCACTGAGGGTTTCGGGGAGGATACTCTGGCAGCCCAAATTCTCCATTTATTTTCACACTCTGAGTATGTGTGTGGTCGTGGTGGTAGGGGGACTGAGTAAAGCCATGAAACTCATTGAAAATGGTAAAGTTTGCTTAGTGCTTATGTTGACACTCTGAGTGTGGCTATGTAGGGCTTGTGATCTTGTTAGGGGCACATGAAGTTGGGGAACTCTTGGCCATAGGCACTGAATACGCCCGGCAGTGTGCCTGTGGCTTTCCACAGGTGCATCCCAGCATCCTGGGACACAGCTCCATGGTGCACCCTTAAGAAGGTGAGTTCCCTCTGATGTCCTAGAGAGGGCTTGGGCCACCTCTGACTGGGTGTCAGCCCTATGTTCCTGAACGTAAACCACAGGGACCCGCAGAAGCACCTGTCTCAGCAGCTGGTTCTTCCTTCTTGATAAGTAGTTGAGTGGAATAAGATCTACCTACAGAGAGAGTAAGGCTGTGGAACTCTCCCTGGGGGTCCAGCCTACCGCACATACCACTCATAATAGCTTGAGTTGAAGCTGGAGGCCCACATTGCTGCACAAAGGGGTTTCAGTGACTTCATATTCATTCTATTTGTTCACTTAGTATTTGTATTTCTAAACAGAAAGATAGATCTACCCCTTATGTTTTCAATTATTTCAAGTTTACTTTAAGATCACATGTGTATATATGCATGTATAGATGTGTACATATATAGGTGTATGCATATATGTATAGTTAAAAAGGGAAATTCAGTAGTCACTGCTGGTTAGACAAATGACTCAAGTCCACTACATTAGTATGCTTACATGGACCCAGTGGGCATACAGTAATTTGTGCAAGTGAACTTGAATACGACCTACATAGTAGTAAGATTGCATTAGGAGAGGTTCTTGAGTCCAAACGTGGGGGCTTTCTCTCATATCTCTCTTTCTTTTCTGTAGCTCTACTTTTCTCCCCCATATGGATATAATAATTTATAGTGATAACTGCTTTATCATGCTTTGGTTTCCTGTGGGAATTCACATGGGGATATTTTGATGGTTTATAAGATTTCTGTGCTAGAGCAATGGATGGGTACATAAAATATTTGTTTCTCAAAAGTAAGCGTTAGTGTGTGTGTGTATGTGTGCTGAATTTTAAAGGGAAGATGTTGAGAGGATATTATATTCTAATGATGGACTCAGAAATCTTAGCTTTTAATAAAACTTAACAAAATCAAATAATGTCGGAAGTGCTGAACTATTATCACATCAACTGCCAAGAAAGTTGTAGTAGTCAAAATGTACAGAGTGAAAAGTGTTATGTTTCTGCTGGTCGCTCAACGTCTTGGTAAGACTTCATAGGTAAATAACCACTCTTGGTCTTATTCATCATGCTTGAACTCCAACACTGTGATAAATATTGTCACACCAGTTAGGCCAATGACATTTTGAAAAAAACCTAGAGCGTAACTACAAACCTGCAGCTTTGATGACATTGTCGATGACTTCCTGAGGGACCTGTTCATTACTTATGAACCTGATCGAACGTCTCTTATTGAGAAGTTCATAAAATTCCTGGGACCTCTGAATCATTTCCCTCTCGGAATACCGGGTGTGAGAGAATGGGATGTGCTCCACATTCTCTTCTGAATCTGCCAAGTCACCAGCATCTGAAAGCAAGCACAGGAAAGGTAGCAAATTAGATGAGCCTTCTTGGTCAAAGACAGACACTGCAGCAGAAGGAGACAAAGTTCTACTATTTTCTGCAAATCCATTAAATTTTTTTTTAAAAATTCCAGATTCCTGAACACTGAGCTTGATTATCCTTCAAGCTCTAAGCTAGAAGAAGACAACTTTTACCTACAAAGAGATAAGAAATTCAAACTTCTGATGTTTGAGTGGGTTATTTAAAACAAGCTTCCACGCATGGAAAACTACTCCGGCTTACTACATAAAGCATTTTTAAAAAAAAAATGCTTGTTGAGGTGACAACACAATGAAAAGTTCCCAGACAAAACCTGGAGGAAAGGTATGAAGCTATGGTAAGTGGGCAGAGAAGCTGTCTCCCCTGCTGTGCTCATCCCCACATATTTGATTTTCCACACTTTCTGAGATCATGGGCAGTAGAAAATAGAACCCAGTCACAGACATGATGGCAAGTTTAATAAGCTAGGACCACCTCTCCCCCAAGACCATTGCCTTATGGAAAATGAGAATCTCGAACAAACCAGGGCTTGTATTATTTGGATGGGCCTCACCTCCATGTTGTTCTTGGAATCAGGTGTACTTACCACAACAAATGCCATTGTGCAAACAATTTAAAGTCCAGTTACTACCAAATGCAGTAAGCCACATGGAGAAACAAAATCTCCTGAGTGGAGAATCATTAAAAAAAAATAAAGTCAGATGCCCCAAAACTCCAAATATTGAAAATTTTAGACTCTGAAGATAAAACAGTCATGACTGTGGGTGGCAGGGACCCTTAGGGACTCATTTCCCCAACTAATAAAAAGCAAAAATGCAGTCGGGACTTTCCAGGAACAGAAGAGGGAGAGGGCTTTCTGAGAATTCACAGATGTAACTAGTGAGCTGTAGCAATTCAGGTGCACCTGGGGGTGTAGTGCTGTGGGCAGGGCCAGAGCTTTAAATGGTATAACTGAACAGCTATTACACAATTTGAAGTTATTTGTGCAGAATATAGAAGACAGCATGCTGCTTTATATGGGGCCCAGCATTTAGGGAATGAACTCTCTTCTAAGTCTGCTGGAATGAAAGAATAAAGCTGGGGCCAGGATGATGGCTTATCAGCCCAATTCTCTACCTACAGAGCAGGCATCCTGTACGGGCTCCCAGTCATGTCCCAGCTGCTCCACTTCTGATCCAACTCTTTGTTTACATCCTGGGGAAGCAGCAGAGGATAGTTCAGGGTCCTTGGGCCCCTGCATAGATGTGGGACACCTGTAAGAACTTCCTGGCTCCTAACTCTTGGCTCCTGCCTTAATACTAGCTCAGCTCTGGTTGTGGCAGTCATTTGGGGAGTGAAAAACAAAAACAAAACAAAACAAACAAAAGAAACAGATTGAAGCACTTCTCTATCTCTCTCTCTCATAAAATAAAAAAAAAAGAATAAAGCCATTTTTCCTGCTAAGAGCTTTGGTATGTTCCATTCTTCTAAGTTTCCCATTACATGATTACTATGTAGGACACATGAGAGAACAAATCACGACATCTTAAACATGAAAAACTAGAATCTCTCAAATTGAGAAATAATACAACCGAGAGCTTAGTGAATGGGTATACCAACAGGTTGGATGACATAAAGAATGAAGATAAATCAGGAGATAAATCAGGATGAAATACCTAGGAGAGGCCGAAAGATGGCAGGCATAGAAGAAAGAGCAAGAAAAAAACAAGAGAGCAGAGTAAGAATGATTGACGGGCAATTGTGCACAGTTACAAAAGGAGGAAAGAACGAAAAAGTGGCAGAGATGGTATATGAGAAGATGGGGGCTGAGATTTTCCCAAAACTGATGGAAAACATCAAGTCTACAGATTTAAGAGATCTAGGAATTTTAACTAGTATCTGAAAAAGAAACTCATATCTTATAGAATCAAATATGTAGTCAGAGCCAAAAATATTCTTTAAAAGAACAAATATACTATTATATTCTTAGAATTGTATTTATGAACTATATTGAAGCTGTTTATTAAAATCACATTAATGGGAAAAATCAGATAGAAAGAATAAAGAATTAAAGAATAAGAATAACTGAATTTTTATAGAAAAAGGAATGATTGCATTGAATTAAATGGACTAAATGTTTCATAAAAATATTAAGTTCAAAAATATATTTGGGAGCTGGCATTGTATCATAATGAATTAAATTTCAGCTTGATATGTCAGCCTTTCATAAGGAGCCAGTTCCAGTTCTGACTGCTTCAATTACAATTCAGCTCCCAGTTAAGGTACCTGGGAAAGCAGTGGAAGATGGCCCAAGTGCTTGGGCTCCTGTGACCATGTGGGAGACCATCAGGAAGTTCCTGGCTCCTGGATTCTGCCTGATCCAACCTGGAATCTTACATCCATTTGGGGAGTGAACCAGTAGATGGAAGATTCTCTCTCTATTTGTCCAAATGAAAAAAATTCATGCTTTATGAAGTGACACAGGATATTGAGAGGTGGCCCAGGGAGGAAGTACTAAGAGGGCTCTCTGAAGGGACAGTATGCAAGACAGAAACTGAACAAGCAAGATTCTGGGCCTGGGGCTGGCCAAAGGCATGTCTGGGCTGCTGAAGGGAGCTCCGTATGTCTGGGTCTTGTTTCAGATACGGTGGAGACACGGTTCAGAACTTTGGGATATGAAGATCAGGAGGGAATAGTCGTGCTCTGGGAAGATGGAGAACTTCCACCTTCTTCTCCCTCATTTCACACATCCTGTGTGCAATCAGGGAGCACTCACTAACATCTCCAACCCCAGTCTCGTTAGAGCTGACCCTAGTCTAATCGACAATAGCTTCACACCCCATGTCTGGGCTGCTTCACCATGTGCCATTGGCAAAAGGGAAGTTAAAAAACACAGATTCCACTTAAGTAATGGACATTCATCTCTGAGATCCCTTCCCCTGGGCCCCACAAACCAAGAGCTCTATTATTGCTTCCTCTGCTTTGCTAAGGTGGCCTCTGATGGCCCACTCTTACACAGAAATCTCCAGCTGCTGTCACACTTGGCCATTGGTGATGCCAATGGTAGCTTGCCTTATCTCATTGTTTTAATGATACAAGGAATACCTAAATGTCTCCACAACCAGAAACAGAGAGGCTAAGAATGTCCAGATAGAGACCCAGCATCCAGAAGTTCTAGGCTGAACCAGGACATACCACCTCCAAAATATGGCAGCTTGCCCTATCAAAAAGCACAAGGGTCCCCCATGCCTGTGGCCTTTCCATGCTCTGATTCCCTAAGCAGGTCACAAAACCAAAGCAAAATATTCTGTCCTTCCCCTGAAGCAGATCATTAGACCCTCGTGTAGGAGGTGATCTCCTCAAACCCAGAGGTGGAACAGCCTTAATTCTGAAGCAACAGGGACAGTCACGAGAATCTGAACAGTCTTGCTGAGTCTCTCTCAGGCTACAAGGGTACTTTAAGAAATGATGGAAAGACAGAATTGAAGCATAATTTTGAGTGCAAAAATCTTTAAACTCCATGCATAGAAGAAGGTGGAAGTTCTCCATCTTCCCAGCCTCACTAAGCCCTCGTATGACCTCATTCCTCATGAGTCTTAAGATGCAGTGGCTCTCTTCGAGCTATGAGGGTTTGTAACCTCCACCTGTGCCTCGTGCACCTCTGCTTTAAGTCCTCTTGCTGTGGAGAGGCAGCCCAACAAACCCTACACTGAGACCTTAGAGGCTGACTGCCTGGGTCCTGACTCTACCCCTGCCATGGCCTTGAGGGGCAGGTGACTTACCTACCTCTTGCTCAGTTTCTCTGTCTTGGGGAAGTCCTCGCAGTGTCTTCCTGTTTGTGAACCCTGAAGATGAAAGCATTCACTGGCTGTGACAGGGACGTGCTGTGAGGTCTTGTTACTGCCGCTTCCCTGGGCTTCTGAGCCATAGGGCATTTCCCTACCAGTTCTTTACACCTGCACTGTCCCCTGAGCCCAGTGCCCAGCCTCCTCTCTAGCAATACCAGCTTCATCGATTCGTCAGTTCTGCATCTACCAGGTGCCACCTCTTTGCTGGGTGTGCATGCGGCTAAGGCTCCCCTTTCCTTCCTGTCCCTGTGTGTCACCAGCACCTCAAATCCAACCTCTCCTCTGGGAAGCACAGGGTCTTTCCCCTTTAGACGGGATCTTCTTCCCCTCGCGCAATTGTGACAGTGTCACTCACCCTCCAAGCCCTATAGTTTCCTTCCCCCATTCTCTAATGTGTGATCACTGCCTGGTCCCCTTCTTCCACCTTCATTCTGATCCACTCCATCCTGGCCATCCCTCCAGAGACAAATCATTACACAGTGTGTTTGGCTGAGGGGAATGTTTTCCCAGCTGGGAGAGGTATAAAAGGTGATAAAAAGGATAAAAGGTGCTCACAGGAGAATGAGAGGCGGCCCGGCGAGGAGCCTGCCTGGAACTTGAATGCTGATCAGTGCCAGCGTAACTCAAAGCACACACAGCCCACATATCCGCACACACTACATACACACAGAGCAATCACACTGTGTATGCACTGCACACACTCTCACACACATACATACATACATGCCACAACCACACACAGCAAGCTTACATTCATACCACATTCACACATAGCAAGCTTACTCACACCCCACGTCCAATACATGCTGTACACACAGCACCAGAGAAACACACACACCATACATACACTGCACAGACTCCCACTACACACATACATATGCACATAACCGACACACGTACTCCCCTCACACCCACACGCAGTAAACATATATACACACCATACAAATACACACTGCGCACATAGCACCGCAGAAATATACTCACACATGTATCATACACACACTTCCACGTACACATGTATGCCCACACACTTGTACACACCCACAGCGTGTGTGCAGCTGGTCTCTGGGGGCCAGAGGCCTCACTGAGAATCACAGCGCCTCTCCCAAGTCCAGTGGGTCCCACACCCCAGCTCCTG